TTTTACAGGTCAAGTAGTATGTCTGGAATTTGCTTAAAAATACTCCAATAAAAAAAATTTAGTATATGAGGAAAATAGATGAACAATAGCAGTTTATTGTTCTTGGAGCTTGGTGATGAGTACACAATACACAGTACACAGGATCCATTAGACTTTTCTAGTTTCATGTATATTTCCAAAGCTCCATAATGTAAGTTTTCTTTTTTTAAAAAAAGATTTATTTAGGGCCTCCCCTGGTGGCGCAGCGGTTGAGTGCTGGGCTGCGAGGCTGCGCACAGCCTCTGCAGCACCGGTTTGTTCCCCGGCAGCCAGCGAGGGTCCCACCAAAAAAAAAAAAAAAAAAGATTTATTTATGCATACAAGAGCTGGGGTACAGGCCAGAGATGCGGAGGGTGAGAGGATTCACCAGAGACAGAGTGGGGAACAGAACAGGCAGACTGACCGAAACACACTGCTAAGGGGAGCAGCAGGCCAGACAGGAGAGATCTGCTGTGCCACGTGGGTTGCTTCCTGGAAGGACGGGGATAGAACTCATGCTGTAGAGGCTGCGGATTGCTTCATAGTGCGGTGCTTAACCCCTTGCGCCACCAGGGAGGCCCCATGAAAGTTTTCTTTTAAGCAGCAGCAGTTAAACCCCCAGATCCATTTTCCCAAGCCACAGTCAGTCCTCTGTCTTCGGCAGAGGTCATTTTATACAGAGTAGAACAGAGGGTTCGAAATGGGACACAGCGGAGAGTGGAAGGTAAGAGCCATACAGGCCAGCCCACACTTTGCAGTGGGTGTGGGTCCATAAAAATGAACATACAAACAAATCATGCAAAGCAATCTAAAAGTCAAGTGTAAAATTTATGGTTATCTGTGAAAGTTAAAAAATATATCTGAAAGGGCCTTCCTGGTGGTGCAGAGGTTAAAGTCTCAGTGCTATCAAGCTAACTATCACCAGTCACTGCAGCATAAGTGCGATTGATCCCTGGCCAGGAAGCTGACCCACATGGCACAGCAGACCTCTCCTGTCTCTCCCACTTTCAGTAGATCCGCCTGTTCTACTCCCACTCTGTCTCTGGTGAATGAATCCTTTCACCCCAACCCCCACCTCTGGTCTACACCACAGTTCTTGTATGCAAAAAAAAATTTTTTTTTTAATCTAAAAAAAGTCACTTGTGGGTCCTCCCTGGTGGCGCAAAGAGTTAAGACACAACCTATGAAGCAATCCGCAGCCACTGCAGCACGAGTTCGATTCCCCAGCTGGCCAAGGAGCAACTCACATGGCGCAGCAGACCTCTCCTGACTCGCCTGCTGCTCCCCTCAGCAGTGTATTTCAGTCAATCTGCCTGTTGTGTTCCCGTCTCTGGTGAATCCTCTCACCCTCCACACCTCTAGCCTGTACCCTAGTTCTTATATGCATAAATAAATAAATCTTTAACCAGGTTTGTGAAGAGGCTGGAGAGTGGGAAGAAGTGTGGGAAACTTTAAAAAAACAAAAAACTTAGCTTCTGACAGCATAATGATTATAGGAAAGGAACTATGTGTGGGTGGGAGAGATGAGAGTAGAAGGGGCTGGTTGGTGGTGGTGACATTTGTGAATGTGGTTTGCTATCTACAATCGCTGAGGTGAGAAACTACTTTCTACACACTACACAGAAACTGAAATCCATCCAGTGTTGTAATATAATATTACCGTGTGTGTGTACTGAGGCATTGGAAATTTGAATGTCGTTGAGGAACTGATGCTGTTTACCTAGAAACCGTGGAACAAATATCCACATACTGGAACCAAACAAAGTAAGGACTGACCAAACAGATTAAAATAGTCACATGTACACACATGCTGACAAATATATAGAGCCCCAGAACTCTTGAGTAATTAGGATTTTACCCTACTGATTTTTCTCTGGGATTCCCCCAAGAAGAGGCTAACCAGATTACCCTCCATTAGGATTTCTCATCTACAGCCTTAAAGACTTTTTTAAAAAAGATTTACTGGGGCCTCCCCTGGTGGCACAGGCGGTTGAGCACTGCACTGTGAAGCAATCCGCAGCCTCTGCAGCGCAGGTTCAATACCCGGCCAGCCAGGGAGAAAACCACATGGCGTGGCAGACCTCTCCTGTCTCGCCTGCTGCTCCCCTCAGCAGTGTCATCAGTCTGTCTGCCTGTTCTGCTCCCCACTCTCTCTGGTGAATTCTTTCACCCTTCCGCGCCTCTGACCTTTACCCCAGTTCTTGTATAAATCTTTAAAAATAAATAAGGTCAGAGAAATAGAAAAATGTATTAGAAAAAGTGGGATATTAAAGGACTAAATAGTTCCATAGTTTAGAATGCTTAAAAAAAAAAAAAGTATAGAGGACACCAACATGATTCAGGAAATTTCTAGAAATGAAGGGTGTGTATTTCTGGTTCTCAGTCTGTTGAAAAGCAAACAACTCTTGCAGAATTTTCTTTCTTTTTTTTTTCCAAAGATATATCCATTCATGCATACAAGAACTGGGGTGCAAGCCAGAGGTGTGGGGGAGAGTATTCAACAGAGTGGGGAGTAGATCATGCAGACTGACTGAAACATACTGCTGAGGGGATGAACTAGTGGTGCAGTCACAGTGGCTGGCTGGCTGGCTCTGGCTGGCGACAGCTCAGTAGGGCTGTCTTTAACCCCTGCACCACCAGGGAGGCTCCCTGGTTAATTTTCTGACACAAAAGGACTAAATATCCCAACAAATTTCCCAAAAAGAGAAGATGACACAAAGGACCAGTCAGCAGAAAGCCTCGACTAAAAACAGTGTCTTCAATATTCTGAAGGACTATTTCAAATCTGAACTTTATTTAAATTATCAATTAAAATGTGAAAATAGAATAAAAACATGTCTATACATGTAAAATATCAAATTGAAAAATTCTCACCAACACTCTCTCAGGAAGCTGCTAGCTGGTATTCTCGACACAGAAACAGGGAATGAACCAAGGAAAACAAAACCAGGTTACAAGAAATTCAACAGAGGTCAAAGAAACCCCCCAAAATGGAGGGAAATTTGGGGATCCAGGTGTGAAACTTGTCTAACCTGGAGCAGAGCAGGTTTTGATGAGCCTTCCCTATAATAAAGCGGAACTGCTAAACATTCTTGTTGTTTCTGAGGTTTTTTTTTTTAAGATTTATTTATGCATGCAAGAACTGGGGTACAGGCCAGAGGTGTGGGGGGTGAAAGGACCCAGAGACAGAGTGGGGAACCAGAGGCAGATTGAAATACACTGCTGAAGAGAGCAGCAGGCGAGTCAGGAGAGGTCTGCTGCACGTGGATCACCAACCTGGCTGGGGATCAAGCTCTTGCTGCAATGGCTGCAGATAGCCTCATAGGTTGCGTCTTAACCCCTTGCACCATCAGGGAGGCCCCCTGTTTCTGCATCTTAAGAGGAAATTACATTACTGGTGGACAGTTTCAAGATGGATTAATGAAAATTACATTAAAAAGACAAAAAAAATACAACTTACTCCAGAGAGAACAAAAAGTTGTATGGGAAAAAAGATCACAATATATTTATAAGACTTGGCAGCTCAGTATTTTTTTTTTTCCAGAATATTGTTCTTACCGGGCCTCCCTAGTGGCGCAAGGGGTTAAGCACCACACTATAAAGCAATCCACAGCCTCTGCAGCACTGAGTTTAATCCCCTGTCAGGAAGCTAACCCACACAGTGCAGCAGACCTCTCCTGTCTCCCTGCTATTCCCTTTAGCAGTGTATTTCTGTCAATGCACCTGTTCCGCTCTCCACTCCGTCCCTGGTGAATCCTCTCACCCCCTCAACACCTCTGGCCTATACGCTAGTTCTTGGATGCATAAATAAATCATTAAAACTCAACATGTTTCCCCCCTTCAGAATCCTCTGCTAGGTACCCCTGTACCAATTCCCTCCTCCTTCTTCAAATTAAAGTCACAAGGTTATTTTTAAACAACCCCAAAAGCTACAACTATGCCCCTGCTCTGCTAATAGATAACATTGGAAAAGATAACAAGAATTTTGCAAGCCTGTTTCTCATCTGTAAAAGAAGGATAAAGCCTAAAAGCTCAGTATAGTGTCTGATATTAAGTGGTGAACATTATTTGAATGACTTTTCAGTGAGATGACTAAACTTACTAACAGGATACAAAGGTATATACCCAACCAGCCGTTAATCTCTCAGACATGGGTCATGTTAGGTAGGCATAGCCTTATCCTTGTTATACTTTGGTTTGCATTCTCCTAAAAGTAATTCTTAGGACAAGAACTATCAACCTAGTTTGCAAAGCAATGTGCTTTTCATTAACTGTTCATTAATTTTCATTAATGGGTGAAAGAGATAATGGGTCAAGATCAAAGAAGCCAACACATACATATATCTTCTAATGAAGCTGGCTACACACATACACTTCACTCATTTTAGCAGTCTTTATAACAGCAAAGCTAAAAACAAATCTGAAAAAGAGGTCTGATAAAAGTTCCTTTGAATAGTAAAACTGGTTATTAAAAACTATAGACCTGTATGTGCTAATGTGAAAGTGTCTAGTAGACTATGCCATTAAAATTAAGAACTATTGGGCCTCCCCGGTGGCGCAGCGGTGCCGGTTTGATCCCCGGCTGCTCCCCGACCACCGGAGGAGGGTCCCACATGGCGCGCAGACCTCTCCTGCTGCCCGCTGCTCCCCTCAGCAGTGTACTTCGGTCCTTCTGCCTGCTCTGCTCCCCGCTCTGGCTCTGGTGAATTCTCTCACCCTCCCGTGCTTCTGACTGTACCCAGTGCATGTATAAACAAAACAAACCAACCAAAAAAAAAAAAATGAAGAACGATTACACAATGGTCCCTATGAAGTAGTAAGTACATCATGTATATTCTGGATCATCAACAGCAAGAAATGGGGAACTTAACTTAGGTGGGATGGTAATTCTTACTTCTTATCCTCACTATACTAAGAATGACATAAGGCTGATTGATCTAGAGTCCAAATGCTTCAAATATGAACAAAAACCATGAGAATAATTTTTCTAAAAACTGTAGCTTTTTTATTCAGCTCAGAGGTAGACAGATGAACATGGAAGGCTGTCCCATTTATCTTGCCCAAAGTTTATATTCCACTTCATTCATCCATCCCACTGCCAGAAATCTTAAAGAAATAACCAAGATTGGCAGAAGAATTCCTTTCTACTTCTTAGCAATACCTCAACAAATCACTTGCAAAGAAGTTACAACTAACTTAAATTTTCAATGTTCAAAGAACTTCATCCTTAGAAGTTCCCAAATAAACCAATCAAACCTGCCACTACCGACAGGAGGGCAGAGTACAATGACTATTTCTATAAGAGACTACAGGGGAAACGTCGGTTACATTATTTGTTGTTAAATCCCTGTGCACGTTAGGGCAGAAGCTGGTGAAACCAACAAAGCAGAGCACACTCGTACAGCTCTGAATGGTTTAAAAAAAAAATTCACAAGTTTTATCTTCAGAGACAACATTAAAACATAATGGAATTGAAGCCTGATACAAAAAGTAGAGAAATATGTACAGGAATTCACAGCCCAGAAGGAAAGGGGACCTTATTAAGAATCAGTGAAAACTCGGCTATTTTACATAGCTAATTTTGAGACAAGTCATATTTAGCACAAAAGCAATTATAGCACAAGTAACACTTCCCTCCCACAGCTCCCAAACTCTAACGACTCGTGTCAGTCTTCTATAACACTGTAATCTTTCTTCAAAGGAGCAGGAATGTGTAAGGTGGTCCCAAACATTGACACGAATTTGAATCTCAAGCAGCAGCTTCACACTTTGAAGATGAAGAGCGCCATGATAGCAGCACTGATGACGCCAGAAATGGGGACTGTGACAAACCAGGCCATAAAAATGTTACGGAAGAGTCGCCAGTCAACAGCCTTTTTGGATCGGAGCCAGCCAACAGATACAATAGACCCCACCTAGGAGAGACAGACACCAAAAAACCAGTTACTAAAGTGTCACTGGCACGTGGTAAATACAAATAGAGCTGAGTTTATGTAAGTCGTAAGTCTGACTACCAGATGAGCCAGATTTTATGAAAGCTACAAATTAAAGGAGAGAACTTGTGGGAAGATGAAGGCAATACAAAAATCAAATCATTAACCTGTACTCGCTAGGATAAAACATTATGAAAAAAGGAATCCTTCTTTCTGAAGTTTCTCAGTACTTCAATCCTGAGAGACTCTGAGTATAAACTTTTCTCTTTTTTCCCCCAAAGATTTTTATTTATTTATACATACAAGAACTGGGATGTAGTCCAGAGGTGGGGGTATAGGCCAGAAGTGAGAGGATTCAGAGACTGAGTGGGGAGCAGAACAGGCAGATCTACTGAGATACACTGCTGAAAGGAGCAACAAGCAAGACAGGAGAGGTCTGCTGTGCCAAGTGAGTTAGCTCCCTGGCCAGGGATCAAACTCAAAGTGGCTGGCGACAGCTTGATAGCTCTGAGATGTTAACCCCTATACCAGCAGGGAGGCCCTGAATATAAACGTTCCATAAGTACCTTGCCCTTCAATAGTCCAACAAGTTTCTCATTTGCAGACTCTATATAAAAGGTCTTTGGCATCATTTGGGAAAAATATATATTAATGCTTAGATAGGAGTAATAAACAGACACAAGAAAATTGTTAAACATAAGCCTTTACATTCTTGCAGTTACTTGTCCTACTAAACTTGTACACTCCTCAAAACTCTAAACTTTCCAAACCAATACATCGAAAGGGTAAAAACAAAACAAAACAAAAAACCCCACATATCACTAGAATCATTCAAGACCATTTATTATTATACTTACTTTACAATGTGTTGTACTGACAGGAAGACCAATATTTGATGCAATTACTACAGTGAGGGCAGATGCCAATTCAATACTGAAGCCACTAGAGACACAAAAAAATTATTTGTCAAGAATGAAATTTGACTGTTTTGATCTACTTCAAATTAAGACAACCCTGCTTTGCTTTACTTGGTGACAAAAACTGCCACTAACATCTTTAATTTGTTTAATTCCTGAAATTTACTTTAAACTAGGACTGCTTTAAATGGAACTCCTCTCTTCCCTCTAACAATTGAGGTTTTAAGGTACTCTCGAAGTCCATTATTTAAGTGTGCACTTTTAATTTGAACCAAATTATTAGTTTTAGCTCCCAAACAAAGCCAAGCATACACTGCTATTCACTCTTAATTTAGGAGAATGGGGTTGAAAAACACCTGACCAAAAAATTCAGTTTAAGAGCCAGACAATAAATATAATCTACAAAGTTCAAGCCAACAACCAGAATAACATCAGGAACTTAAACAAACTTGGTTATTTTAACTAAAGCATGATGCATGTGGCAGTACTACATAGTTATGTATCTTAAGAAAATGAGCATTAACCTCCCTAATAACTGTCTGACCAACTTACCTAGAGGGTGTGATTGGTGTCAGATCTTTCCCCATGGTCTGGATAACTCTCCTTCCCCAAACCCACAGACCAATACAGATACCAACACCACCATAGAGCAGAAGCCACACTGGTATCGCTACTTTTGAAGAAACATCTCCCTTGTCGTAAACCAGATATAAAGCAACCAGGGGGCCAATGGCATTGCTGAAAGAAAAAAGGGCAAAGATGGGTGACTTTTCAGGCAGAATTAGAACTTGGCAATATCCAACTTGCCAATGGCCTAAAGCAACTCCTCGGTTCTAATAAACAATTCAAACCACAAAACTCAGTTTTAACATTGTATAGGGCACCGATTTTAAGTTTTTCATCTTAAATTCCACAAATTACTATCAAAGAGCTGGAATCCAATCATAATAAACAAACTTTCTCTCAAACACTAGCTGCGTTCCTACGTATAACCTCCTGAAACCCAGTCAAAAAATCCTTTGTAATATCCTTAAAGAAAAAATTTTAACAACCGTTTTATTAAGTCAGTAACTGCTATTACCTCATACCATCTATATTATCCAGGGTCTCATGGTGATAGCAGTACCAGCCACAAGCACAGCTTTATGGAACGGAAAATGAGGTATGGAAATAAAATGTCAAGATTCAAAATGAACTGACCTGACATCATTGCCACCATGGGCGAATGACCCAAAGCAGGCTGTAAGGATCTGCAGGAACTGAAAGAGGAGAGACACTTCTGGTTTATCCTGGTCAGACCATTCTTCTAGAGAGTTACTACTTCCTTTTCTGTCACCCAGACCCATCTCTGCCTTGGCACTCATGTCCATCTCAGACGCCGAGTGAATGTCAGACACAGCGTTGCAGTAACTGGTGTAACTGTCCATTCGAATTCGCTTCTTGCTGTCTCCGTTTGGCCATGTAAGCTTTTCCATTTCTTCACCTTTTTGTTCACCTTCTTTGGCACGGAACGAATCCAGAGGCATGCCACAAATTGCCATGGTGTAGGAAGTGTAACTATTGTTGCGCCTCAAGGGTTTGTCACCAGAGTCTCCCATGCAGTCTCCCACCTTGGCCAGATGTAATTTATGGAGCAGCTCTTTGTATAAGCCAGAATCTTTATGCACGGTGTGATACTGATAGTGGCCACTGGAGTTTATCTGGTTACTGACAGCTTGATTGAACTGAACAAGGTTCCCGTTAGGTAACTGCACTGTACCTGACCAAGACCAAAAAGGGAACATTCAATACAAAGAGCATTAGGTTCAAACAGCCTCCACATCAGTACTAGGTGACAAAGTGAAGCTCTAGTTTCCCCACCGGAGGATATTCCACTCACCATTCATGGCACTGTCTATGCTGGTTTCTTCTTTCAGGTCGACGCTGGGAAGCCTCTCTCGCTCAGGAGCTTCCTCTAAGTCTCCCAGTTTGAATGACACTGTTTTCTCTTCCACTACAGCCCTGAGGGGCACAGTGGCGGACCCTCCCTCAGAAACAGGATTCCTGTTTTCAGTGTCACTGAGAGACAACTTCGTTTCTTCATGGTCTTCTTTCAAGCTGTTCTTTTTTTCCATTAACGGGCTTTCAGAAGGACTAGACTTTATTTCTCCTAGAAAAGAAGGGTGTTTTGTTTGGTTTTGACCAACTAACTTGTTCCACATCCCACATCTCAAAATGAGAATATAAACCAGTAAAAATTCATGCTAATTTTCCAATCTGTATTACTTGCCACCACTTATCTTTCCCTTGAAAACAACCAGCAATGCAGAAACTTACATTATCAGGGATGGCAAACTTTTACAGTAGAGTGTTTTAGGCTTCATGGGCTGTTGTGTATTCCTGTTCTTTGTTTTTATGTTAATAGTCCTTTTACAAATAGAAAAATTGTCCCATGTCCTTAGCAGACCCATTCTATAATGGGTAACAGTTCAAGTATAGGGCTGACAAAGATTCAAAATTTGGACTGCATCTATCAATAGTTCTTGTTCTTTTTAAATCCTTCCTACCCCGCAAATTCTGTCCACGAGTTCAAGCAAAGTAACACAGCCCAGTGTAGGCAACTTTGATTTCCACTTCTAAAAATAAGGAGACATGCCTTAAGGTTCTAGGTTAGGATTCTAATAAGTTCCATGAGTACACAGGAATATTTTCTATCATTTCCATGGCCAGGACGTTTACCTATTCACTCAGGCATCAAAGTCAAGCTGCAGACTAGGATTAAAACATTGGGCCTCCCCTGGTGGCACAGGCGGTTGAGCGCTGCACTGTGAAGCAGGCTGCAGCCTCTGCAGCGCCGGTTTGATCCTGGCCGGCCCGCAAGGGTCCCAACATGGTGCAGCAGACCTCTCCTGTCACGCCTGTTGCTCCCCTCAGCAGTGTATTTCTCGTCTGTCTGCCTGTTCTGTTCCCTGTTCTGTCTCTGGTGAATCCTCTCACCCTCACCCACATCTGGCGTGTACCCTGGTTCTTGTATAAATAAATCCTTTTTTTTTTTAAATCACCAAGATTTGGGGCCTCCCTGGTGGCACAGGGTTCAAGTCTCAGTGCTATCAAGCTATCGCCAGTCACTGCAGAATGAGTTCGATCCCTGGCCAGGGAGCTAACCACATGGCACAGCAGAGCTCTCCTGTCTCACAGCTGCACCCCTCAGCAGTGTATTTCAGTGGATCTGCCTGTTCTGGTCCCCACCTGTGTCTAATGACTCCTCTCACCCCCGCACCTCTGGCCTACACCCCAGTTCTTATATGCATAAATAAATAAATCCTTTAAAAATAAATAAATAAATCTTTTAAAAAAAATTAGCAAGATTAGTCTGATCTCCCAGACTGAGGCAAAAAGGAGGTCAGAGTCCTGGAAGCCTCCATCCCCCTGTACAGCAGCCCGGCAGAGGTTCTCTAGGCTCCTCAGTGCAGCTGCATGACACAGCAGCTTCGGGAGGCACTGCAGTCAATGCATCCATCCGCTTCCAAAGAACAAACTGAAAACTGCTAACAGAACATGTGCAGATGAAAGGGGCAGAAAAAGGTCACTTTAACAGATCTCAGTAAGGAAAAAAAATTTAAATGACTAACACTTAAGAATTTATTCAGTACATAATTACACTAAAAAATTATGTGTAGTAATGGCCTAAACGATTCCTTCACATGACACTTAAATATGTTTTCCTGAATTTGCACAATTCTGAGAACTAACCAACTCCAAATTGAGACGCACACACATACTAGATTTAACTTTGCATGTCTGAACATGAAGTTACATACAAAATTAGGGTATATGTGTCCTCTATGAAAATATTTTGTACCTACCCCTACCTTATTTTTCATTTATTCTCACTTTTCAATGTAGGCAATAAATCCTCTATATCATGTCATTGGCAACTGATCAAGATTTAAAAAAAAAAAAGTAAAATGCCCCATATGTCTCCAAGCAAGGGTAAATATTCCTTATGACTAGAGGTTGCAGTTGACTTAAGTCCCTAAGAAAACCCTTTGGACAAACAAGTATTCTCAAATTCCCACTAAATTTTTCTTTTGACTTTGTCAATCTACCCAAATAATGGCTTATTTATAGGTAACCAAATAAAATAACAAAAAAACCACATCACTAGTTAAAATCTTTTGCTATAATTTGTTACTTACGTTCAATTTTTCTCTTCATCCGGGGACATACAAAGAACCAGACGATAAGGGCACAGATAACAGCACATCCCACCGAGATGAGGATGGTACCCCACAGAGGAAGTCTGTCAAAGCCCAGCACTAGGAGATAAAACGGTGCATCTTGAAAACCCTGGGGCAACAGCCCCCTGCAATAATGTACAAACCCTCTTCTGGGAACTCTGGGGTTCCCCAAGCCAGCCCAACACCCTTTATAGCTGCTGCCAGCCTTATGTAAACAGGATTTAATGTGCCAGTAGCCATACAAAAATTTAGGAGAAAAATATCCAATCTGAAAACCAAACCAGTCTGGCCCACTTAAACACCTGCTAAGTCTCTACAAGCTTCCTCACAAACTTGTTCTTTTTCCTTTCTTGCTTTAGAAGGTAGTAAATATTACTACTGAGAAAATCCAACTAGCAGTGAAAAAAAAATTGAGGCCTCCAGGTGATAGCTGCCACACATTACATTTGCACATACAGATTTTAATGCTAAAAAAGGAATGTGTCCCTATGGTTATGACATCCACTGTACTAGCCTAGCCCCCAGTAAAGCCCCTCGACAAAAATTATCTCTTAGGATGCATATTGAACTAAGATACAGAAAGTATGACTATTCAAAAGAATAGTTCAAAGGGCCGTCTGCAATAGTTCAAAATAGTTCAGTGGTAATACGTCTAACAAGCCACATTTAAAGAGACTTCCCTACTTTTCGCATAGCTGTGGAATCATTAACAGTTATCTGCTTATCACCTAAATGCTAAGAAGCTGCATATTACTGGCTATATTAATATATTAGTGACTGAAGCAAAGCACTATAAAATCCTATTTAAGATCAAAAAGTTAAATCTGTAGCGTTCACCTTAAGAGCTTACTTACTTGGGTTGCTTTGTTTTATTAAGAATTACTTAAAATGGAAAATCTATTGCTTCACACATAACTGATTAAAAATAAAAATTGAAACTTCTCCAAAACTTAAGTTCTAGAATGTCTTTTAATTTTAATTCTGCTATCAGTTTCTATCATGTAGTCACACCAACTGAAATATACATGAAATGTAATCAATCTCCATTACAATTTAAATTTGCCTACATTCCAAGTCAAAAAGGGAAATGAAAAGGTTTATTCTTGTAAGTGATTCACAAGGGACAGAAAAAAAAATCCAAGATCCCATTTCAAAAATGACTGAAAAATTTAAAGTTTCTAATTTCACTGAACTATGAGCTTTGCTGCTACCATACGAAACAGTGCTTAAGAGTCCATGAAATACTTAAAATTAACATGAAAAACCCAATTTAAAGCAAGAAACTGCAGCATGCAGATTTTTCTTCAGCTACATCATTTGGTAAGGTGTCTGAAATCCCCTAAGACCAATATCCTCATAAAATTGTCCATCTTCTTTCCCGATTGTTCCAATAATAAGATAAGGTTAAAAATACTTAGCTAACTCCATTTTTGGTCAGTGACTTATTACATTAGTGAGGTTTAAGAAGCAAGTTACAACCCATTAGTCAGAAATGAAATCAATTTAATGGGCCACAGTGAGCATTAAAAATAGCTAAAAAGGATATCTTAAAATACAAGTTCACAGCACATAGTAAAGTTTAAGTAGTTCCAAGATGCTATTCGTTGCTTCTCTCTCCCTCTCTATATGCATGTATCATGGGCAGCAACATACAATGTATTTCATCCAGCAGGTCACAGTCAAAAGATTGTGAAAGTCACTGACTAGGTAGTCAAACACCATCAAGTTGAATGACCCTAGGTAGCATAACTGAACTCCTGCCTAATCAGTTATAAGTTTATATTTTTCATTTGCTAAATTAAACCTCTACTGTCAAAATGTATCCCATGCGTTGCCTTAGTCCCAACACAAAAGTAGTCAACATTTCAACCTTTATATTCTCACAAATAATGTTTCTTAATTTTCTCAGCTGTATGAATTCTTCTTCCAAGTGCACTTAGACCAGGTAATAAACATCCCAACTCTTCTCATTCAAGCAGATTCAGGGAAGTAAATTTAGTACTTAGAAACAAAAGTAGCTCCAATTGGAAGGAAAAAATGAGAACATCCAGCAAACCAGTCCTAAATGACTGATTATTGAAGACCAAATTTAACTAATGACTCTTCAGTAGTCAGTGGAGGTCAGTATCAATTCCAGTATTTTAGCATAGATAGGAGAAAGGGAGGGACAAGATCAAATTATCGTGGATCCTGTGAAGACTAAAGAGTAAAGGTCTGTAGTGATTTAGAATCTGAGCAGGTCTCTTTGGTTGAAAAACTATCTAGGTTAACTCGGCATACACTAGCCTGCAGCCTTCTGAATGGGCGCAGGCCAGCCACCTTCTAGGAGATTTCAGCCCTGTAAAGCAAAAAGGGGTAAATTGGGCATTTAATGCAAGTTTTGTAAACAACTTTAAATTCACATTTAAATGTTTTGATATGTACTTACAAGGTGCTCCAGTATACATGATGGAAAAGAGGTTTATTCCAATTGTGCAGGCATAGAAAATTGGCAAAGCTCGCAAACCATTAGGAACTGGATCTGCCTGTAAAATATCATTAAGATTGATACCTTAAAAACTCTGAAAGGTAACCGGTTTCCACAAAACTCTGTAAAAGTGCAGGCTCACAAATTACAGTGTTGATAATTGTCTTTCCATAACAATTCCTAAGGCCAGCTAGGCTTCCCTTACATTTGCTCCAGATGTCTCCCACTGAGGGCTAATCTCATCGTCTACATGACATTAGCTTGTGTTGTTTCTTTAGATTTGTTTTGACTATTTTTAACAAGGTTACCTATAAAAATGACCAGTAACATAATCAGCTTCAACACCTGATGAGCCACCTTATGTCCAAATGTAAATCAGAAAACACACTTGAAGATGTACTACATATTTTAAGAGATGTCAAGAAACAGATGGTGAGATGTCAGAACTTTTCTCATCTGACTTCAAATATACAAAGATTTCTTAAAAACAAAACATATAAAATATACCTGCAACATCTAATCTAGACATAATAAATGCTATAATTAACAACTAACCCAAGTACTATGATAAAAATCAGTTGTGCACTAGATCATCTCCTCACACTCAAAAGACTAAGCCAAGCACTAATACTAATCTGGGCACTGAAGTAGAGTGAATGGGACAAATTTCCTACCCTCCCAGAGCTGACATTTACATTTCAGTAAATATTGACAAATGCTACAAAGAAAAATCAAGGACACAAGGGCAGTGATGGAAAGGAAGGCTGATGTCAATGAATCAAGATCTGCAAATGTGTTATGTCAACAAACAATGTACATACCTAGAAGTGGAGAAGGAGCAAGCCACCTGGCTATCTGGGGGTAGGATATTCCAGAGATATCAGGAAGTGCAAAAGCCCTAAGGCAAAGACTTGAAATATTTAAGGACAGCAAGGAAGGCAATGTGACGGGTAATAATAGTTCCAATTTACAACAAATGTGTATTAATTCTACAGGAAAACACCCAAATCAAACACAGAATGAGAGCACAGATGTAAATATATGCTAAGGCTAAACTCAGAAAATTTTTAGCCTAAAGGTTTAATGTTATCTTGATCACAATCCAGTGAAAAATCTTAGGGTGGAAGAGACAGAAGGAAAATCTTAAAGTGTTTCTAAAGCTCTGAAAAGAAAATCAATACATTGACAAGTGGTAGTAGCTTAAGATTAATGAAACAGAAGAGAAAGTAAGGGTGCCACTTCAAATCAGTAGAGCTGGGGCCTCACCAAAAAATACTCTGAATTTTAGCTCCCCCTATCCATAGTTTAAAAGAACACTATGGGGTCTCCCCTGTGGCACAGGGGTTGAGCACTGGGTTGCCAAGCTGCCCGCAGGCTCTGCAGCACAGGTTCGATCCCTGGCTGCTCCCTGGCCACAAGAGGAGGGTCCCACATGGCGCGCAGACCTCTCCTGCCACCCGCTGCTCCCCTCAGCAGTGTACTTCGGTCCCTCTGCCTGCTCTGCTCCCTGCTCTGGCTCCAGTGAATTCTCTCACCCTCCGGCGCTTCTGACTGTACCCAGTGCTTGTATAAATAAATAAAAATAAATCTTTTTTAAAAAATTAAAAAAAATAAAAGAACACTATGAAACTGGGGTCTCCCTGGTAGCCTGGGGGTTAAGTCTCAGACTATCACCACTACAGCCTAAGTTCAATGCCCGGCCAGGGAGCTGACCCACAGATGGTGCAGCAGACCTCTCCTGTCTCGCCTGCTGCTCCTCTTAGCAGTCTATTTCAGTAGATCCACCTGTTCTGCTCCCCACTCTGCCGCTAGTGAATATTCACTCTCATTCTCACACACACACACACACACACACACACCCTGGCCTACACCCCAGATCTTCTACACAAACAAATAAAAAGGGAAAAAAAGGAACATTACATAACAAAAAAACCCAATAGCATTCAATAAGATTAGAAACCTAAGTTTAATCAAAATTTTCTTCTAAGAATAATGGTTTTAAAAAATTCTCCAAGGAATCTGAGACCCCCAGTTCCCAAAATCAAAAGCCATTAGGGTTCTATAGATATTATGTGGGGACTTCCCTTAACAAATTTCTACTCTCAATTACTCCAATGAGGTAACCAGGACTAATAACTTAAGAAATTTTTATCACAGCATGCTTCATCTAACACACACTTAAAACATTACCCAGGGGCCTCCCTGGTGGTACTAGGGGTTAAGTCTTAACACCATCAAGCTATCTGCAGATACTGTAGTACAAGTTCGATCCCGGCCAGGGAGGTGACCCACATGGCGCAGCAGACCTATCCTGTCTCCCCCACTGCTCCCCTCAGCAGTGTATTTCAGTAGATCTGCCTGTTCTGCTCCCCACTCTGTCTCTGGTGAATCCTCTTATCCCCTGTATCTCTGGCCTACACCTCAGTTCTTAGATCAAGCAGTAAAATGAATCTTAAAAAAAACAACTATTACCCATTAAGAATGTAAGTATCTCAATGAGAAAAGGAGTCTTCATAAAATCACCTTCAACCATAATAGTTCTCCATTTCTTATGTATTTGATGTTCCAGCAAGCTTTTGTCTAAAGAAAAGGGTCCCCCTGAATTTGAAAAGTTGTCCTAGATAGATTGAATGTGATTCCTAACAAAAGGGAGAATGCTGAAAAGTCCCATTTTCTTTGACTAGAATTTAAATAATTAAGAGAAAAACTTTCCATTTCCTGTATTCCTTGTTTATTGCCCCACTGTGTAACAGAAGTAGCTCATCTCCACTCCCTTTGTTTTCCATTGTACTTTTTCCTATTGTACTGAGACCAGACATTCAGTAAGCAGGGGAAAAAAGTAATTTTAATGTTAATTTCCAGAATAAAATCTTAATTTGGAAAGTATCTTAATACTCAAATACTCATAGCAGCCAGGACCCCCAAAGGTTACCAGTCTAAGGATATTTTCGTGAGACTTAAAACCTAACAGTAGGGGCCCCTCCCTGGTGGCACAAGGGGTAAAACACCCGCACTATGAAGCAATCCACGTCCTCTCCAGCAGGAGGCCAGGGAGCAACCTGACAAGGCACAGCAGACCTTTCCTGTCCCGCTCAGCAGTGTATTTCAGTCAGTCTGCCTGTTCTGCTCCCCACTCTGTCTGTTGGATCCTCTCACCGCCCCCCCACCCTGTCTCTCTGGCCTGTATCCCAGCTTTTGTATACATAAATAAATCTTTAAAAAATAAATAAATAAAACCTAACAGTACCAGAAATATTCACTCATCACTTAAAAATTCATCTGTTATTGATGGATTAGTCACAAGAGTTTGTTTGCTGGGGGGGAGAAATGGGGGGTGGGATGGGGATGTTGGAGGTGAGGAAGAAGATCCTTAAAGTCATTTTTACTTTAATCATTACTCCAACCATTCTTTAAAACTTCCATCCTCATACCCTCCACCTAAAGAATGTACCGTTAAGAAGTTAATATACCTAAACTCTCAATGGGGGGGGGGGAGAAGAATGTAAATATATCTGCATGTACTCATTAAATCAGAGGTTCCAGATAACTAAAAATCCCTTTGCAACCCACAGCACCACATTCCTCGCTCTGCGAAACACAAGTTTGTTTTATCTGGAAAAATATCAAGTCTCCCCAGTCTCAGCACAATCTGCTTCCAAATAATCAACAAAGACCCAATGTAAGTAAACCTTTACCAAATAGAAACCCATAACAGATCAGGATATTTTTAATACTCCTTGTTCTCTAATACAGAGCATGCATGCTCTCTGGTCCAAGACTACCAGTAAGCCTCAAATTCAAGAATCCTACCATCATAGGCTATAGTTGTTAGACACCGAGGGAAAGTGCTACCCATACCAGCTTGCTGAATTAAAAACCAAACTTCAAGTCTGTTAATGTCAGTGAATTGTCTTACTCTCCAATTTTACCAAGCTCTAGAAGTTTTGAGTTTTCAAAGTATTAAACTGCTGTTTGCCAAACTCAGGCTCTGGGCAATGGAATAGTAAATCTCTTTACCAGCCAAAAAACTTCTATAGAGAAAAGATACAAATCCATTCTTAGAGAAGCTTAGAATTAAACCAAACAAGTGGTCTGAATACATTCTCACTCTGTGGGATTAAGCTACCTATCTCCCTGCACTCAGATTACTACAGTTTAGAAGCAATTTTTAAAACTTACAATAGGCCATTAAAAACCATTCACCTCAGTAAAGGGGAAACTTTGTCTCCTAAGAAAAATGGACTTATTCTCAGTGTAACTCAGTCCAGTGAAATCCCCTGCTGTCTACATTTATTTTAGAGCCAGCATTGCTCAAGAAGGATTTTCAAACACACAGGAAGTTAAATGGTTGTCTGGAAAGACAACCAATCAAAAGAAAAACAAAAGCTACCTTTATTAGTTCTTATTACTTATTCTGAGAAATTAGCATCAAATTGCTATCAGTAGAGTTCCCACCTAGAACTTATAACCTGGTTATGATCATCAGTGTTGTTAGGAACAATTATATAGAGACCTTAACTACTTTATTTACCTGGCAGCTAAAAAAAAGTCACAGAAGACATTGTGACTTGTTGAACCCCAAGCTCAATTTCAAATTTTCCTGAATAGAATAGTGGTTTACATAAAGCAGTAATCTGCATAGAGCTAGACAAAAATCACTCTAAATATCCTTATTTCCTTGCACATCATTCAATTTCCTTCATAAGACACTGGAAGGAAAGCAAGTTGGGTATTGACAACTTGTTTCTTTCAGAGAATTTAGCAACATACAGAAAGTATGCCTTTGCAAAAAAAAAAGGAATTTTCTTCCAGCTTCCCAAGGCCACACACCTACATACCAATCACATGTGCAAAAATGCTATTTTGACTTTGATTACCACAGGGTATGACCCACTGAAGGGCATGGGGGGAGAGAGGAGAAAGATTACCTTACGGAGGATGAATGCTCGAACAAGGAAGAATAAAATTCCAGACATAATACCAGAAAGCAGTGGAGAGATAAACCAAGACATCACTGGAATAGAGCACATTAAGAAAAAATGTGAATTGATGAAAATCAGGAACCAAAAACACTTTAAATTTTAGTATTCTCTTTTCAAAACTTCAGTCTGTCCCTCTATTGTATATCATATATGCCAATACATATTTCCATGCCAACATGACAATAAAAATTAAGATGCTATTTAGAATTAAACATACCAATTTTTATCAGTTCAGACCACTTGACACCCTCCTGCCCCTTGGCCACAAGGGAGAAACCAATGGTTGCACCAACAATACAATGGGTTCCAGAAATGGGAAGCTTCAAAAACGAAGCCACTAGTTGCCACACAGCAGAACCTGAAACACAGTCAAGTTGCATGAAGTCAATGGCAAAATCCCATTATGGCTGCAGCGCACTCTGAGGACCACCATGGGCAAGGCACAGGACGGGACGAGACCGATTTCCTCGCCCACCACCCCTGGAACAATGCGAGCTTACCAAACATCGCGCTGACAGAGCCCGCCATCAGCAGATGCTGGGTCGAGTTGTACATCTCCACGTCAATCAAGCCCTTCCTGATGGTTTCGCTCACTTTGGCCCCCAGGAGAACGGAGCCCACAGTCTCGAAGACACTGGCGAGGATGCACGCTTGCTTCAGGGTCACTACACCTGAGCCCACGGCTGTACCAAACGAATTGGCCACATCATTGGCTCCCACGGAGAAAGCCAAGACGAACGCAATGATGAAGCCCAGGATGAGCATCCAGAGGTACTCCACCATGGGGCCGGCGGCCGCGGGGGCCGCGGCGGTACCGAGGATCATCGTCGCCGTGGTGGATGCCATTCTCCAGAGTAGTGGTTTTTTAATGACTAAGAATTACTGAGCGGCTTTCAAGATGTGTAAACGGAATCTGAGGTATCAAAATGCGGTAATAAATAATATATATTATATAAAATTAAATACTGTAAACGACGGCCCAGAAACCGAGCTGTGGAGTTACTGCTATACACTGGGTATGGGCATCTGTTGTCTGGGGTTTCTTTGGCTGTGGAGGGCTAGACGCGCGGAGCGGAATTCCATGGCGGAGAAGAGAAAGGACGCAAGTTCATCCTGCGGGTGGAGAGAATAACAATGGCAGCGCGCCCTTGGGGAGGGAGCGGTCTGGCAGCGGCGGGGCCCCACGCGGCCGGGGATCCCCACCGTGCTCCCCGCGGCCCCCTGGACCCCCAGGCGCAGGCTCGCGGGGCGGCGGGGCACGTGGCGCCGGGACCTCCCCGCCCGCGCGCGCCCCGCCGGCCCCCGCAGTCGCCCGCGCGCGCGCTCCGCGAGACACCGGAAAAGGGCCGTTCCCGCGCGCGCCGCCCGGGGACCGCCAAAAAGGCCCGCGGGCGGGCGGGCAGGCGCGCCGGGTGGGGGAGGGAGGCGGACAGCCATGCCGCGGGGTCCCGCCGCGCCGCCCGCCCGCCCCAGCGCAGCCCGCCGCCCGCCCGCCGCGGCGTCCGCGCCCGGCGCCGGGGAGAAGAAAGAGCCTCTCCAAGGTGGCGCCACCACTCACCACAGGAAAGCAGGGGCCGCGCAGGAGACGAGGTGGTCCAGGCTGCGGCGAAGGGCAGGAGGTCACCTGGGGTCGGCGGGCCAGGGGCCCGGAGCAGAGACTCCGGGGAGGGGTCGGCGGGGCTGGCGACCCACCCGGGGAGCGGCGCGGGCGCCTCAGCAGCCGAGAAGAGGAAGCACGCAGCGCGCGCCGGCGGCCATCACTACAGCGGCGCACGCCGCCCATCGCCACTTATACCGGCGCGTGACACGCGCGCCCCGCCCCGGGGTGGCGCCGCCGAGGGGCCGCGCTCATTGGCCCCGCCGCCGCCGGCGACCCTCCCCCGGCGGGGAGCGTGTCCACGTGGGAAGGGGCCGCCCCCTCCCTCTGGCCTAGCCCGGGCGGCCGCGCTCGGCTACTCCGGCTCCCTGGCTGCCGGCCGCCGCACCCGCCGCGTGGGACCCCCCGCTGCCGCGGGAGGTCGTCCTGCAAGGGCGCGGAGTTCACCATCAAGGTCACGCCCAGTCCCCCCACCCACCCCGCGGGCCTCCTGGACGGAGCCGGCCGCTCCTAGAGGCTCACTTTCGGCGCTTGTTTGACCTGTCGTGCCCAGAGGCCACCCTTGGCCGCCTTTCCCTCCCGCCCGCCCGCTGTCGCCGCGGGAGACCTCGCGTCCCGGGCCTCGAGATCCAGCCCTGGCACCTTCGCGCACCTGTGACTTTCTCTTGGCTAGACAGACACTGTCCCTGACCCGGGAGGGAGGGAGGGAGGGAGGGAGGGGCGCTCACGTGGTCGCTCGGCTCCTGCAGTCGTGCGCTTGGGTGAGAAAAGAAAGACTGGAAAGTCACGAGAACCAGGGTGTCTGCCCAGTTATGGCGCAGGGCGAAAGGGTGGCTGCGGCTCCTTCTCCGCGGCAGCCCTGCGTCTTCTACGCCGCGGCTGTGTCTGGAGATGGGGGACGGGGAACACAGTGCTTTGGGTTCAAAGTCTGACTCCACTTGCTGCAGTGTGTCACCTTGACTAAGTTCCAGATTTCTCGGGCTGCGTTCTTACAAATGTAAAATGTTAACAATCAGGACCTGCTCTGTGGCGAAACATAAATGAGTTAACTGTGTGGCTGGAACTCCGTAGTAAAGTACCTGCTAATTTCCGTTTTGCTCTTTGGGAGAATATGCCTGTTTTATTTAATATGTGGAAAAGCATATAAGGGGATTTACTCTCTTACTCCCGGAATTTTCCTATCCGTTTGAAGTAACGATTGATTTCTGGTCCCCTCCAGTGTTATAATGTAGTTTTGACATTAATGAAATCGAAATGCAATGCAACTGCATAAATCTTACATAGGGGGAGTAATCCCCCAATGCCATGAGGGATTAAGGTCGTGCTCTCGCAGTTTGTGAGATTAAAAAATTCCAACCAGAATTTCTTACTAGGCTTAGAACAGAGCCCTCCTCAACTTTCTGCCATCCCTAGCAGCAGGGCACTGGATAGCAAGAGCAAAAACATTGTGAAAGGTTGCTGTCTATGTCGGACATCTGTAGAGACTTAAACTCCACCTGAGTGTCTTCTGACCTACCTAGAACATCTGATGGAGTTCTATGAATAATTTACAAAGCTCTAAAGTCCCAAGGTCATGGCCAAAAAGAGAAGTACATGTCCGGGGGCATTGACCCTGGAGTCCAATTCTTACGTAATTCTGGCATCTTAAAATGTACTCCTCCTTCCACCTTTATTCATTTCAAGGTTGTGGAAAAAATGAATAAAAAGACTGACCTGTGAAGGAACCTTAGTGTTCTGCCATTTAAAATAATAATTTTCAAAGCTGTTATTGCTGAGGAAATTGTCTAGAGCTTTCCCCAGTTTGTGTTTTCTTTCTGTCTGTTGGCAAACTTTTCTGGGTCCGTGGTATTAGGTCATTAAACTGACACACACTTGTTGGACAACCTCTGTGTAGTAAATATCCATGGAGGTGAGAGATCACAGTCCCCGCCCTTAGAGGTGGGTTTGTAGGGTAAGTGTTGGAGGTGGGGGAGAGACTGGAAAGGAATTCCCCTTGCATTGCAAATGAATTCTATCAACAACATTTGCAGCCTCTAGAATGGCCCACCCTTCCTTCTTCCAAAAACATTCTGAGAGTGCCTCTGCCAGCCCGTCTGGGAGGTGAGTGTCATCTGGGGACAGAGAATCAGTACAGTGGGGTATGGACTTTGGAGATCTACTTGGGAAGAATGAGGCTCTCCAGTTCACATACAAAAGACACTAGTTCTGGGCCTCCCTGGTGGCGCAGCGGTAGAGCGCTGGGTTGTGAAGCTGCCCGCAGGCTCTGCGGCGCCGGTTCAATCCCCGGCTGCTCCCCGGCCACCGGAGGAGGGTCCCACATGGCGCGCAGACCTCTCCTGCCGCCCGCTGCTCCCCTCAGCAGTGTACTTGGGTCCTTCTGCCTGCTCTGCTCCCTGCTCTGGTGAATTCTCTCACCCTCCCATGCTTCTGACTATACCCAGTGCTTGTACATATAAATAAATAAATAAATCTTTAAAAAAAAAAAAAAAAAAAAAAGACACTAGTTCTAACTTTATCGCCGAACACGGGAAAGGGGAAGAGAGGTCCTGAGGATGTTTCTCTGTTAGAATCAGGGCCTTGGTATATTAGTATGCACTCTAGGATCTCAGTAAGGCCCTCTGGTTTCAAAGTTAAACACAAAACTAAAACCATTACCTGTTAAGTGACCATGAGCAAATATACATTCTGCCTCAGTGTCCTCATCTGTTAAGGGCCAAGTTTGAGAGTCCACGCTTCACAGGACTGTTTTGAGGACCCCATCAATGTATGCAAAGCCCTTCTAGAGGGTGTCTAGCATGCAGTGGTGCTCACTAAGCATGCTCACATTATTCAACAACTAGCTGAAGGCCAGTACTGAAAATGAACTGTCAGGTGTCAGAGCGGCACTTCCAAACTTCTCCCACTGCTGGGAGAGGTGAGGGGCCATAAAACACTAGGGCCTGCTGCTCATGGGTTTGGAGTAGCACAGGGCACGTGAAGGGGCTCACTGGCAGAGGAGTGGGAAACCTGAGCCTGGTCCAGATCCTACTGACCACAGGTGAGCCACTGCTACTGGGCCTATGGAAGGGTCCCTCTTTGGGACCCCCCCCAACCCTTACTCTCCCTCAAAACAAATAGAAGCTAGCCTGCTACATACCGCTGGTCACCAGACTGGACTGGGTTTGGAATTGTCTTGGAGATGTTTCCATCTCTCACTAGACCAGTCAGTCCACTGAGAACTGGGAGAGCAGACCCACCAATCCCTCTGGAGCTATGCAGATGGGCCGGAAGGAGAAAATACCACTCTTGCACTTTCAACCTCAAAGAAATGCATCTGAGTTTACCATTCCACAAGCACAAAGTGAGCCCCCTGGGGAAAGTCTACTTGGGGGTGGGGGATTTTGGGGAAGTGGGATCACTGGGGAGCCAAAGCAACTTCAAAGGCAGGCCATGAGGACTCAGATGGGAGCAGGAAGAACACCCAGGGAAGGAAGGAAGGAGACTTTGAGTATGGAGATTTACCTCCTCCCTGACAATCACTGCCCTCTCCTCAGCTCAGTCACAGTTTAAGGAGGGGAAGGTCATGATGTCTATAGTGCAATGAATATTCATGTGCGGGGCACAGTTTCAGGTGCTCTGCATGTATTATCTCTTGCGATGTTCTCAATAAACCTTGGATGATAGGGGTCTCCCCGGTGGCGCAGTGGTTGAGCGCTGGGTTGCGAAGCTGCCGGCGACCTCTGCGGTGCCGGTTCGATCCCCAGCTGCTCCCCGGCCACCTGAGGAGGGTCCCACATGGCGCGCAGACCTCTCCTGCCGCCCGCTGCTCCCCTCAGCAGTGTACCTCGGTCCCTCTGCCTGCTCTGCTCCCCGCTCTGGCTCTGGTGAATTCTCTCACCCTCCCGCGCTTCTGACTGTACCCAGTGCTTGTATAAACAAAACAAACAAACAAATAAATAAAAACATGCCTCTATTAAAAAAAAATGCTACTCTTTAAAAAAATAAAAAAAATAAAAAAAAAAAAATAAACCTTGTATGATATACTTTACTTTTGTAACAGGGTGGTCCCCAGGAAAGGGGGAGGTTCAGATTTGGTGTCCAACATGATTTAGGACAGAGCCATCCGTGGTTAGTCAGCCCCATGGGGAAATTGGGCTTCCCTATGGCACTGGCTACCATAAGCGCAAATGTGATTTTTGGTTTCTCCAGTGTGTTTGTTTCATATGTCGATTTGCTGTTGAAAAACTGCCTTGGGCTTTGTGAAGATTCTGTGTGTTTGTGTGCAATTTGTTTGTAGTGACTTGCTAAGAGATTTTAATTTGTGGAAATTTTTTCTGTGCCAGTTTTACTCAAAAGATTAGGCAGTACATTGGACCATGTGGCCAGATCAAAGATGGCGTCTGAGGCCACTTGGAGTGCTCTTGTAAAATTCAAAAGTTCTTGTTGCTAGGACTTTGGAACTTTTTTTTTCTTTCTTTTTGTAATCTCTGCTGTCTCATTAGCATTTCTAAAGGCAATAATGGTTCTTCATTAATATGTTGCTTTGTCTTTGACTACTTCCTGCCCTGTGTCTGACAGGTTTTGCAAGCCAACTGTGGAGCAGTGGTGTTTTAATTAGCAAATGTATGCCTGGGTGTTAAGGAAAGAGTAGCCTTAAGCAGTAACTGGTAATCGCTGGTATCCTTGATGGATTCTTGGAGATAACTTGAATTTTTGCAAAGTCTGGATCAGAAAAATTAACAAGATTTTGTCTGAGTCTGAAAGGATTTGCTGCTGTGAATTTTGTCTACACAATTTGTTTTGGGCATGTTTGCCATTTTGAATACTGGATTTGTTCAATTGCTGGTGTAAGACAAGATTCTAAGTTTCTGCTTCCTACTGAGGAAGGTCTGTTATGGAAAGCACTCTTTAGGGTGCATCATGTAACTGTACCAGGTTTTCATACCTGTGTTGTTGTTGTCCCTCCCTAGTGTGGGGGAGGTGTAATCTGTGCTTAGATGTTTAATCTGCTCTTTCAGCCTCTGTCCCAGAGTGGCTAACAGAAGTAAGGAGATGACTCCTTTTAATTGAAAGTTAATTACTGATATTTTGATTTTGCTTTTTCAGGTTCTATTCCAGGAA